GGGGGGGGGGGGCAGATAGGTGTCACCTTGTCGGCATCGGTGAGCGAGGCCATGTAGTCGATGGTCTGCTCCGCATCCTTGGGCATCGCATCTGCCCACCAAACCCCATAACCAGCCACCATAGCATAGACACACACATAAGTCCGTCCAGTGACTGACAAGATGGCAAGAATGTATGTGCACTGCAAATGTAAGTACCCGAAACGAACACAGGCTGCTCCTTGAGCTGGAACACCACTTTCTTGGCGATGCCGCACCGCACCAGGCAGTCGGCCAAACACATGTCAGACACCAGCTCAAACCCGGCGTTGTCGGCCACCATGTCCACACGAGCCAGCGGCAGCTGCACGTACGCACACATCCCAACACACAACACACGCCATTGCCCTCCCTCCCTCCCTCTCCCCCTCTCTGTCAGTGTCACCTGTCCTCTGATGCTGTCCCACATCACGGCAAAATCGTCCGCGAGCAGCATCGCGGAGCCCTCGCTCATGGCCTGGTCCACATGTCGGGCGTGGTTCTGCTGGCTGTCGGCTGATGACGGCCAGAGGGAGAGATCCATCTTGTTGCCCCACAGGGACGCAAACACGTGCAGGTGGAGACCCATAGACTGATCGGGGTCGCTCTGACATATGCACACACACACATACACCACACACATATGTATGGAGGGGGTCGTGCGTGGGTCATCTCTCGCTGCCTTGCGTCGCCTTGCACCTCGTCGAGTGACTTTTGTGCCAGCGCTTCGATGGACGGCATGCTGTCGGCGAGCCCGGCCTTTTTCTGCTGCTCAAATGGGTCGATCTGAGTCTGGTACCAATCCACCGCCTCCAACACACGACTGCAGGCATCGCATCAAGCAAAGAAGGAGGGAGGCATCAACACAGCACATGACGCCCATTTGGCCAGCCACTCACCGATAGAAGTAGAACTCGGTGATGAGCCACGGTGCGCTCAGCCAGGTGGCCCCCTTATCCACCCACTCGCCCAGCAGCTCCCGCCAGACATCTTTGTCGGGCCCGCCGTCGCTCTCCCTGATGTGCCGCAGCTTGCTCACACCAGGCTGCTGCAGCTCGGCCTTGAGCTCGTCGAGCTGCCGAATGCATGACGGTGGGAGTGAGGGGTTTTCCTCGTAGATGCGCGAGAGGATCTCGTCGCGCACACGGCGGGACATCGTGTCATGCGCCTGAATCGTTGCACGCACACACAGAGAGAGAGAGAGATGAATGAGCCACTCATCTGAGTGAGTGTGTCTGGCTGATTGACCAACTCAATTACTCACCCACGTGCCAGGCACGTCAGAGAAGATGCGTGGCGGCAGGTCCGCCCTGGGCATCATGCCGGGCCTCACCGACGCCCGTGTTGCCATGGCTGTTGGTGAAGCAGGCGCATGAAAACCTGACAGCCGCCGCCGAATGAGCCGTGTTGACGAGGCGAGGGAGGGGAGGATGCAGCTGATGCACAGGGGCACCAGTGGGATGAACATCCAACACCAGCAGCAAGGAGGAGCAGCAGCTGTGGTCGATCTCTGTTGCGGTGTTGCGCGCTTAGCTTCGAGACTCTCATGCACCGAACAGACCGACCGATCGTTTGGCGAGGATGCCACTCTGCAGATCTTGTTGAGTGGTACAGATGAGTGAGCGTCTTCCCCCGCCCCCCGTCAGACATCCACACACACACACACACACGCACACGCACACGCAAACACGCATCGATCATGCAGATGGATGAATCCATTGCAATGCAGGAAGGGAAGGCACAGAAGGCACATGATCAGATCATCTCACGTGCAGGCAGCTTGTACCAACAGCTGCGTGACATGCACGAGTTGTGACGTATGTGTTTGTTGTCTTGTCTTGTCTTACTTGCCCCAGCCACCTATCTATCCGTCCATCGAATGAATCGAGACGACCGACACGCCCATGCATCCCACGGACGAAATACCCACTCACCCACAGGCCCATCGAAGGAAGAGACAGACGACGCAACGCAACGTGTTAAAACACTTCTGTTGCTTGCCAAGCATGTGCGTGTGTCAACTCATTTGTGTCCGTGTGTCCGAGAAAGTGAGTGCACTCGCTGTTTGTGCCGCTGATCAGGTGAGGTGACGACACAGTGGCTGGCAGTGTAGTGTAGTGATAGTGAGTGTGTGGTCTGTAGGAAAGATCGAAGGGAAAAACTCCTGGTCAGAAGTACGCACGCAGAGCCATTTAGCCGGCCGGCACCTAGGGGAAAATGAGATTCGATTCAGCCACGCACCACTTACACACACACACAGATAGATACACACACACACAGATACACACACACACACGCACACAGATACACACACGCAGAGAGACATTCACGAAACCCAAATAAACGAACGCCAAACGACCGAAACGACCGAAACGAACGCAAAGGAACCAAACACGGGCACGCCCTCTCGTCGCTGCTTTGCACTCTTGTGGTGCAGCCAACAATCATCTCGTCCAGACAGGTGGACAAAGGGCGGGAGGGCCGTATGACACACGGCAGTCGTCATCATCATCCCGCGACACGAACGAAAGTCGCGTGGCCATTGATTGATTGCCACATTCAGTGCACGTGTGCGTGTGGGAAAAAGACAAACACGCGTCCTTCGTGCGTGTGTGTGGGGAAATACGAATAGGCATGGATGGCATGTAGGTATGGAAAAAGACAAGACAACAGGGGTACACACGCAGGCAGGCACACAATGAATGAGGAAAAAGGCAGAAGGCACACGCATCTTTCTCTTTGACAGACAGGCAGGGAATGTCGTTGATGCCTGCAGTGTAATACATGTGATGGGGGTGTGCTGGTGAGGTGAGTGGTGTGAGTTGCATATCGAACGACCGTCACCGCACTTACGAGCCATCCATCCATCCATCCATCCTAGGTAAGTAATAGCATACATATCACGTATGCCAAAATCGCCATCCATCCATCCAGCCGCGACACATCCAGCCACTCGTCCATCCATCCATCCCTCCGATCCATCCTTCATGGAAAAATTGGTTGATTCAAAACTCTTCCTCAACTGCCCCTATCGGTATATATATCAATCAGGGTATATGTATATGTGTGTCTGTGTGTGTGTGTGTGAGCCCATCGATCCATATCGACGACAGACGAACGACGCGACACCTCTCTCTCTCTCTGTCTCTATATCTCTCTCGCGGCCACCCATCCATCCATCCATCCATCCGCTGCCGCAGACCCAGACACACACTGACACATCCACACGCCATGCCATTGTCAGCTGCACACACACATGCACACATCCACACACGTACACACGTTCATGGACACGGTAGGTCCCAAAAACAGCACAGCACTTGCACCGCACTGCGTCTCTCCTGTCTGTCTGTGTGTGTGCCGGCAGCTCGTTAGAAAATGCCCCAACTGAGGAAGCAAGTGGGAATGGCCGCAAAACAAGAAGGTGAATCAGAGAGAGAACAGGGACAGTCGCACACACAAGCCACACGGACACAGACATGGCATGCAATCCATCAAAAGGCGTAGTGAAGAGAACAAAAAACCACACCACCGGCCACACGCACACACAGCTGCAGCTATCTCTCGCCCTCTCTGGTGTATTGTATAGGTGTCAGTGTGTCAGTCAGTAGGCGAAGAGGCTGCGTGAGACGAAGTGGGCGACTTGTTTGACGGCAGTGGGTGTGTTGACGTAGAAGTGGCCGCCGTCGAACTCCTGGAAGTCAAACTCGCCCGTCGTGATCTCGGACCAACCCACCATCTCCTGCTGAGTCGTCACCCTGATCATGACACGCACACACACACACACAGAGAGGGAGAGAGAGAGAGACACATGTGTGGTGGTGGTGGTGGTGGATGGGGAGGGAGGG